TTTGGTATGTGAATTAACTGCAACCAATCAAATGCAAAGGTAACACACCAGATTTCATGATTTCCTGCAAATTTGACCTAAATCTGTCATGTAGCATTTTTCCCCACAGCAGAAGTATCTCCATGTAGTTGCAACTTGCTTCAGTCATGATCAGTTTGCTTTTTCAGGTGTCCACGTGAACACTGAAACAGGCTGTGCTTGCTGTAGTCATTTCTCCTGTTCATACTGGATGTTCAGTTTGTTTCTAATGCTCTCAGTGTTTAAGTGATGGGGGACAAAACCACAGTCCTGGTTTTGTGCAAAAAAGCATTTTGAAGTTTGGATGAAGGCTAACATGAGGCTTCAGACACTTCCAATTAGTCTTTTATGTATAAAAGTCATTTCGTTACAACAAACAGTCCATCTATCTGTCATTACCTGGAGCCAAAAGCTAGCTGACATTGGGCGAGAGGCGGGGTACACCCTGGACGGGTCGCCAGTCTATTACAGGACTAACAACCACACTTAGATTTAGAGTCACCAATCAACCTGGGCTGCATGTCTGACATTCAAATATCTGAATATGTGGATGGGTGGACTCCTTAGAAAGCTGCATTTAGAAGCTTATGAGTATTAGACAGGTATAGGAGAGAAAATCAGGCTAAAAACAAAGTGAGACATGATTCTGAGGGGCTACTGTACCCTTTATCACAGTGTATCTTCACTAAGGTGTTTGAAGAAGGAAGGAAAGAAAGCAGCATTGTGCCACAGAGTCAGGCATTATTAGGCCTGCTGTTGTACTGCCGTCACAGTGTGGTTGAACTTTGGTGTCTGCGTTGTGAGCAGAGCGGAGGAGGACTCTGAGCCTGGCACCGTGAGGACCCGACTGTAACAGTGTGGAGCTGGAAGGTGCTGAGGGATCAGTGCGCTGCAGTGTCGCTGATCCATGTACAGCTACAACTGCTGCTGCTGCACTAGCCGTCTGTAATGTGGCATGACTTTACTCTCAGGGAGGTAGAGCGCCATCTCCAGGGCGACCAGGATGGTGAACTCAAACGATATCAGCTCCCTCCTGCTGATCCTGAAACGCTCCTCCAGCTTCTACAGATGCAGATCAGAGAATGAGTAACAACCAGAAGTAGATTGTTTGTTTACTTGTCTATACCTTTATATAACTGTCCATTTATTTATTTTTTTGGCCTGTAAAATGATGAATTTTGTACCTTTTGATGCTAAAATGCAGCGGTGAGATACGCCACCTCCTGAAGGTGGATATAAGGTGCATTTACAACTGCCAACTGTAAATATGATGCTGGTTTGCTTAGCTTTATAATGTCAGTGAAAATTCTCACTACTTCTGGTTGGTTCCAGCAGGAAAACAGACCAAACTAACGTTTTTGGTATTTACATTTAAATTAGTGCACAAATCAGACCAAAAACCAGCAGTAAACATGTCGTCTTATCTTAGCAAATATTAAGTTTGAATTTACCATTCTTTGCACCCTGGAGGCCACTGTACTTAATAAAGTTTTACCCAAATCAACACTGAGATGACTGTGTCAAAAGTATTTATTATTGTTAAGTTAACATTTAGTCAAACGTGAGGATTTTTAAACATTTTGTTTTGTTTTATTTTGACGGGGCTTGTTTCAAAGTATGTTCAATGTGGTATTTGTAGACATTATTTAAGATCTGGTCATCGGAAATTAAAATCATTTTTAATATTTTACAGCAAACAATCATTAATTAATGAAACAGAAAAAAAACACCAAATCATCTGTGAAGCTAGAAACAACATAGTTTTGCTATTTTTTGCTTGTTTCTTAGTCAGACAGCCATTGTTAATCATTAATTAATCAGCTCATCATTGTTAATAAGAATTGCTTAAATGAGGTTATGAAAGAGAATCTGTGGAAAGAACTGAAAACTGCTGTTCACAAATGCTCTCCATCCAACCTCACTGAGCTCGAGCTGTTTTGCAAGGAGGCATGGGCAAAAATTTCAGTCTCTCGATGTGCAAAACTGATAGAGACATACCCCAAGCGATTTACAGCTGTAATCGCAGCAAAAGGTGGCGCTACAACGTATTAACTTAAGGGGGTTGAATAATTTTGCACGCCCAATTTTTCAGTTTTTTATTTGTTAAAAAAGTTTGAAATATCCAATAAATTTCGTTCCACTTCATGATTGTGTCCCACTTGTTGTTGATTCTTCACAAAAAATTACAGTTTTATATCTTTATGTTTGAAGCCTGAAATGTGGCAAAAGGTCGCAAAGTTCAAGCGGGCCGAATACTTTCGCAAGGCACTGTACAGTCCCAGCAGGTAGCATGCAACCGAAAATAATATCATGGGTCATTAATTAGTTCCTTAACCAGCAACACATCACATGTGGCAGACACACTGGCCTCAAGCAGTCAAAGCAAAGAGGTACTGTGCTCTGGGGAAAACCAGCATTAATGAGCTGATCAATTCACTGCCGTGGGGGGCTTCACTGGCCGGCTGCATGTAGGTTAGACCCGGTCAGGTAGAACAGTAAGTCCCTGTACAAGAACATTCCTGGACATGCAGTAACCTCAGCATGTTATGGGCTTTTCAATTACACCTTAGTACTTTGTGTGTTTGTCCAGTTGGATATAGGAAGATTTGTGTTGATGTCTCCAACCTGAAGTTACATCTGACCAAAGCAAATGTGTACTTTGTCTTAACAGACCACAATGAGTAAAGAGAAAGATTTAGTGTTCACTTAAAATATTAAGTCTTTTCACCATTAACAGTTTTTTTTTCTGCCTTCTCAGTGGTACAAGCTGGATGAGCTCTTTGAACAGGAGCGTAATGTCAGGATTGCTATTGTAACATAGTTGAAATGATTATTTTGGTTAAATCCTGCTAAATAGAGCAACAGTGCCACCTACTCCTGGAATGTCGTACCTGCATTCAATAAGATACGCAAGGGTTTGCGGGTAATCTTCCACAGTATGGAGGATCCCTATTAGAAGGTACGTATTCGAGGTGTACCATGGATAAAAGACATTTAAATTGATTATAAAGCGCACAGAACCATACAAATAATGTGGGGATGGCCAGTGATTGTTTTATGTCACTCAGCGGCTGCATTGGTTAAGCTCAGTTTGGCTGGACGGCCAGCTCTAGGAAAGGGTCTGGTCGTCTTAAACGTCTTCCATTTAAGGATTATGGAGGCGACTGTGCTCTTAGGAACCTTAAGTGCAGCAGAAATTTTTTTTTGTAACCTTGGCCAGATCTGTGCCTTGCCACAATTCTGTCTCTGAGCTCTTCAGGCAGTTCCTTTGACCTCATGATTCTCATTTGCTCTGACATGCACTGTGAGCTGTAGGGTCTTATGTAGACAGGTGTGTGGCTTTCCTAATCACATCCAATCAGTATAATCAAACACAGTTGGACTCAAATGAAGGTGTAGAACCATCTCAGGGATGATCAGATGAAATGGACAGAGCCTAAGTTAAATATATGAGTGTCACAGCAAAGGGTCTGAATACTTATGACCATGTGATATTTCAGTTTTTCTTTTTTAATAAATCTGCAAAAATGTCAAACATTCTGTGTTTTTCTGTCAATATGGGGTGCTGTGTGTACATTAATGAGGAAAAAAATGAACTTAAATGATTTTAGCATATGGCTGCAATATAACAAAGAGTGAAAAATTTAAGGGGGTCTGAATACTTTCCGTACCCACTGTATATTCAGAGAGTGAGAGAGATGGAGAAAAGTTTGGTTTAAATGTGCAGATTTTTTAGCCTCAGTTCTGCTCCTTATTGCTCCATTTCTCATTGTACTGTGAGAGCAGAGGGACTAAAATCTGAATTTTATCAGTGTGTATAAGAAAATTAGATTCCCTGATGTTTCACTTGAGTTTAAAGCTCCTGTAATTTGAGCCTGGCTGAAGTTAGTCCGTTTAGTAAAGTACTACAGTTCATTATATATTGTAACAGGAGATGCACATGCATTGCGGCCAGCAGAGGCCTCTGTGTGTACAGTTGCCATGTTCTCCCCATGCCTGCATGGTTTTCGTCCCATAGTCCAAACATGCAGCTTAAGTTGGCTGGTGACTCAAAACTGCCTGGAGGTGTGTTTGTTTGTCGGTGTGCCCCGCCTTTCACCCTGTGTCAGCTGGGAATGGCACCAGCTCCAGCCCCCTACAATCCTTTCAAAACCTCACTTAAAAGTATTGGTCAGTAGTGAGTGAGAGTTTGGCTTATGCATACAGTGAGGCTGCGTGTGTCTGGGATGGAAATGCTGACACTGCTGTTCTAAGGGTGTTTTGTAGTTTAGGTCAGAGAGTTAACATTTATAGTAAGTGGTGAGATCACACTGTGTAATTCTAACACACACACACACACACCTGGTGACTTTCCCTAACCTTAACCACGTCTTGGCTAAGCCTAAACCTTCCCTTAATCCTAAACCAAGCTGTCACTCTAATTTATAAGGTTGAGTCCCCACAATGTGAGTAATACCAGATGCACATACACAGACGCTCACAGCAAGATGAGGGACGAGGCACCCACCTCAGCAGTAATGATGCATTGCTCTGATGCATTAAATGGCAATGACGGAGCATGAGTGTGTGTGCGTCTATATCATCTCACTGGAGGGAAAAACTGCTACCTAAAGGATAATTAAGTTTATGTTTGCAGTGATTAATTAGCTATCAGAGATCTACAATCTACAAATCCTCCTGTTTAATTTGATGTTGGAAATTAAAATAATGGTATAATTAAATCCTATCTTGCTGTTAATCCCACAACAGTGAAGGTGAAATGTTTAGACAGAAAAAGCTTTTAGGATGAACTGTATAAAGATCATTTTTAATCCCTGCAAAAAGAGAGAACACTACCACAAATCATCTGAAATTGGCTCAATGGTGAATGACCTCTAAATATAAACAACATTTGCACAAAAAGATAGTTGATGTAGAAGTGTCTATACACTGCTGTATGACTTGATTCTGTTACATAGCCATACATAATGTGCCTTGAGTGCAGTAACATCTGCTGTCTGACACACAGGTCAGTAGAGGTGTCAGACAGCCCACAGAGCCCTGGATGGTGTGTGTGAAAGGACACACAGCTGCTGGATATTTGCTGCCAATCCATGATACTGCTGATTAAAGTGGTTCTCTATGAATTCTAGGTCACTTATCATCAGATTAAAGCATATTTTAATGCAGCAAACATTAGAAATAATAAGAATTAAAAAATTCAGAGAATATTTCATGTCTTCTTACCATGTAGGAAGCAAAGATCAGCACCCGCTTGTGCTTCCCACACGGCCAGTGGGGGTCATTGATGAGGTTAGGGTCATAGTCTGTGACATCATCCAGACCTAGACAACACATATGTACACAGAGTCAGGTCAGTGGAACTAAATACCCCTGACAACATGCATCTCTGCGTCTGCTGCGTTGATCTTGATGCATTTTTGAAACCATGAGCATCTGTTCATGTTAATGCAAAATCAGTGGAGCACTTTCATAAAATGTCACAATCATAAATGAAGTGGTTTAATTGAATTTACCTGATTTGTTTTAATACAACACTATTCCTCATGACAGGTGTCATACAGTAAGATCGCCTAAGAGCAAAAGTATTGTTAAAACATAACACAAAAAGCTAAACTATATTTACTTTTAACTGAATAATCAAAGCCAAATATTTAGAACAATATTGCCAGCAAAACATTTATTGCTGTAGTTTACTGCCTTGCTATTTGTTTCAGCCGTTCTGCAAACATACACACATTATTTTAATCATGGACCTGCTAATAAATCATCCAGGCTCTGATGACTTTCACTGCTATATAAGGGAAACCTATTGTATTTGGTTTCCTAGTTAGTACTTATATTAGTAATATCTGACTTGTTAAGCCACAGACACAGCACAGGGTTTGTAATGGTGAGCTAATGTGAATGTAGACCACAACAAACCTTGAGCCCATTCAGTTAGTAGGAGTTCTGGTTATATCCTTCATATGTGGGTATATATATAAAGTAATGGTAAAATGCACAAATTGATTTCTGACCACAGTGTATCATGATGTACAGTACCAGGATTTCAAAACACAACTGCCAATTCGGTTTGTGTCCCTGAAGTGTGAGATGTGAGAGAACAGTGAAGCAGGATGTGAAGGCAGAGGCAGAGTGTAGCTGCAGAGAGGAAGAGAAAACAAGCACAGATGGAGGGATGAGGTGAGAATGGAGGGATGACGATATTGCTGCAGCTGTGCTGGAGTAGCATCGTCTTTATATTTTAAACACAAGTGTATGAGCACCCTGTGCATCACATCCTTTAGCTATGAACACACACCCAGGGTGTCAGAGCCCTGTATTAGCCTCTAAACATCATGCTAGAACCCTGAAGCTTTCATTAACACAAGACAGCTGTGAGAGTGCATATGTGTTGATGTGTTTAATACATGTGAGACAGTGTACATGTGTGTTAGTGTGCACACTGATAGCAGGTTTATATCTATGGTAACTAGGGATGTGTGTCTCTCCCTCTCACACAATTTGATACGCATCTCGATAAATGGTCCATGATTATATAAAATGATACAGCAAAAATTATGATACATTACGATTCAACAGATATTCAGTTTTAATTTAGCTTGTATTTGAAGGACTATACAAACATTAAAGTATTTGTTTAGGGTATAAAATTAAAAAGTTTGTGTTTCTTCAAAAGTTTTGTATTTCAAGCAGCAAAAGCCAAATAGCTAAAACATGATGTCTACTCTTTTTAACAATAATAAACAATGGACACTGGTGAACAGAAAACCTCCAGCTGCTGTTTCACCTGATCATACAGAGCTGGAATGTACTTTTCACCTTAATCCTGCTGACTTGTTATTGTCTGCTTCAGCTTCAGAGTCAATGTCATTTGCCCAAATCCCACATGTTCAGCGACATGTCCTTGTGAATGAATTAGCTCATAGCTTCACTTGTTGACTTTAAACAAATCAGGTGGAATTATCAGCGGCTGTGCTCTGAAAGTAGCTGCTAACAACTCTAGCACTGTTACTTGCCTTAAGCTGACTGCTGGAGCAGCACACAGTCCTGTTTCCATTAGTTCAACAATGTGTCACCTTCGTAACATTTCTACTTGCAGGTCAGTGGTACACATAGGCTACTCGACAAGAGCCGCATGTTGTGCTTTCTGAGGTAGCTGCTAGGTCCTGAAGCTGTCTATACTGTGCACGGCGTTTTTCCATGGACCTGCATTGTTAAAAAGGAGGCATGTGTTTGAACGCCGGCAGGAGATGGTGTGCACATGCACACACACTAGATCGGAGCACAGCGTGAAGTAACAGAAAACTTACCTAAGTTTGGTTTATGATCTCCATATTGATTTTAGACTGGAGGTGTGAACCTGGAATCTGACTGGATTTCTGGAAAAAGTCTTAATACGACAGGTCTCTCTGCCCCGTCAAGAACACTTTCTTGAGGTGAAATGCTGACAGTAATCTACTTTTTTCTCTCTCCCTTAATGTCAAAGCCACTAAAACATTTTAGAAACATTAAATTCAAATCTAAGAATCAAATGCAAGTTCCACTTAAATGTTTGTACAACCTGAAGTAAGTCCTCTCCGTGAGTTGGACCCTTCATAGCTAATGTATAAAAAGTCTCTCCACACTGCTGATAAATGAGCTGTGCTTGTCGGATTTTACCCATAAAGCCCCACTAACTCTGTTGCACCATGAATTCAAAAGTAACCAGGTGTCAGGAATTTCTAAACTGTCATGCTAGTTTGCATAGCAGTACTGGATTCACATTGCTATTTAAATGAGAGCTGGGCAGCAAGTATAGCTGCAGGTGATGGACGTGAACCATATAAGCCTAAACAAAACATGACACATACTCATAGAGATGGGGCTTATATACTTGCAGACTTGCACTCAGTTTGCTCACACAAACTTCTGAATCTGTTTGTCACCTGCCTGGTCTATCCATCCGTCAAATATGTCCAACACTAACATATCGGTTTATCTTTACACCTCTACTAACAAACAAATACCAACAAGCATTTGGTTCTGTTCAGATAATTCAGTTTTTTCCTCCACTATGAAACTCGGGGTTTCACATATGCAGCTTGCATCACAACGCCCAACTGTTGGTCAGTACACAGCATGCGGTGTGTGTGGCAAGCCCACCATAGGTAGAAAGAGCCATCTAGCAACCACTGTACGAACAAGCTGTGGGGCAAAACAAGCACCCTGCTTCCCTCGCTATTTTGAGGAAAGATGACCACTGCCCAAACTGGACAGGTTTTCTGCAAGCATCTTTTTATATACTATGATTATTAATGAACAGCAAGGTAAACACAGTTTGTGTGTGTGTGTGTGTGTATTACCCAGGTCCAGTCCCACAGTGCTGTTCAGCCTGCTGGGTGGGTAACTCCTGCCTGGCATGTTGTTTGCACTCCTGGACACTGGGATCTGCAGCGTCAGGTCGTTGGTTGAGGACAGCTTGTGCCTCACCAGAGCGTTGGTGGGGTACAGGAACTGGGCGTACGACACCGACTGAGACACAAAGAGAGAAGAAGATGGATGGAAGAGATGAATATATGACCTGAGCACAAACTGGCTCATATCATATCATCTGATGGGAGGTGGTGGTTCTCGTATCTACCCTGCCATAGGTGTCCAGCTGGAAACCTTCTAGCCCTGGGAGCATCTCCAGGGTGGTGGAGATGTTTCCAGATGAGTGTCTCCTTCTCGGGTGGTTTAATGTAGGGTCACTGGAAAGAGAGGGAGAGGGAGAGAAGTGTTTAGGGTGACTGAAGAACAGCCACTGCACTTTCCCTTAAATGGTCGACTGTTACAGGAATTCACATTTTTTTCCCATTTCCTCTAAACACATTCTCATAGCTGGACTTGAGTCCTAACTGGAACAAATCCAGCCATCATTTGAAGCAGAAAATCCTCTGAGTCCCAAGTTTTCTTACTTAACAACCTAGATCAAAAATTCACAACATGAGGAATATACATTCATACAAAGAAGCTGGCTGTATCAGGCCTTCGGTGATTCTGTAGCTGTGTGTGTGTTGATCATGTAATTTACAGACTTTGCTCCGACTGAACAGTTGTTTCTTGATGCATCAGTCTTTCTATGGATGTCAGATATTTGTTTCCACACATCGTCATTCTTTTGCCATGGACTTTATTTATGTCCCAATAACTTGCTAAAGACACATCATAGAGGGTTGTGGAGCTAGAGACCGTGTCCATAAGGTTTTCTCCATCCACTCATCATCTATACCACTTATTGGGTGCGGGGGTGCGGTGCTATCCCAGCTGACATTGAGTGAGAGGCGGGGTACACCCTGGACAGGTCGCAAGTCTATTACAGGGAGACAGACTTAAAGACAACCATACACACTCCTATGGGCTATTTAGAGTAACCAGTCAACCCAAGCTGCATGTCTTTGGACTGTGGGAGGAAGCTGGAGTACCCTGAGAGAACCCACACAGGCACAGGGAGAACATGCAGACTTCACCCAGAAAGCTCAAACTCAGAACCTTCTTGCTATGAGCCAGCAGCACTGATCACTGCCCCACCATGCTGCCCGGTTTTCCTCCATTTTGTTTATTTCTCGTAGTGAATTGGAGCAGTGAACAACCACGAGCTTCATTTCAATCGGAACTAAGATGGTCTGACTAGCTGTCACTGGCACTGTGTCAGAGGATATCTTCATAAAGTTAAGTGCTCCTTAACCTTCCCTGTATTGTAACTGGGCAGATTTTGAATCTGTCGAGCACCAGGGGGGTGCCGGGCTGCAAAGCCAGATCTCACTGACAATGAATGGCATAAGGATAAGTCTACAGGAAATGAATGTAAGTCAATGTAAAGTCCCCACAAGGAATGCAAACACAGCATGTGTGTGAATACACACACTGTATGGTCTGTGTGTGCAACAAAGAAACAGAGTGACTCATGCATGTTTTTTTATTAGTGTGTGCAAGGAGTGTGACATGATGATAAGCAGGCACACAGGCTGCTGGATATTTCCATCAGAAGCTGTGTATGAACGTGACAGTGAACGACGTTGGGAAAAGTTTATGTAATTTTTACTCTATTTGAATCTGTGTGCTCATCCAGTATCAAAGTATTTGCATGTGTTAGAGAAAAGAGGAGGACATAATATGTACATACTGGTGTGAATGTGTGTTTCTGCATAGATGCTTTATATGCGTTCATGTTAATGTGTCACCAGCTAGAGGCCTAAGGTCAGGGGCTGTGAAACACATGGGAAAGTCATCCCAAACCTCTCTTCCATGTCCCTCTTCCTCTCTCGCTCCTCCTCCCCTCCCTAAAGAACTTCCTCTCTCCTTTCTCTCCATTTCCTCCTCCTCCTTTCTGTGGACAGTTCCGTCTTCCCTTCAGTTCTCCTAGTCTTTCTTCCTGCCTTACTTGGACGTAAAAGGTGTGAATATGCAGGTGTGTGTTGATTACCTGAGGTAGAAGCTCTCTCCATATGGCAGAACAGAAAAGGCAGCACAAAGAGACCTCTTGGCACAGATCAGCACGATCCTGAAACACACAAAAACATTAGTGGTTGTTAAAACATTACTGTTTATAGGTGTAAAAATAAAATGCAACATTGTTAAAGGTGGTCAGTGCTATTCTGGGTGAACAGCAGCAACCTTGGACAGATATTTTTAGCCAAAAACCAGACGAATAACCTACACCAAAGTAGGACTGGAAAGGATTATAAAAAATAATGCAAATGACATTATAACAATCTAATTTTAGCTACAGAATTATAAGATTACTGCTAATTAACTTCCTACAGGCTGCCACTTATATACATAATACAACAAAGAAACCAAACTAGAGTCCATCTGTGGCGACCCCTGCTGGTTGTGATTTGGCTGTTTTCAGTATTAAGAACTCTACTGTGAGGGAGGAAGAATCTTGTGCACAGCTTTATTTAGTAAAATGTTGTTTATTCAGGGTTTCTTCAGGTTTTATCAAGTTAAATTTGAGACTTTTTAAAGACCTTTTTTAGAGTGCAAGTTAAAACCTATTTCATATTTGTAAAGATATAAACAGTGGAACAATCATTTCGAATATGAATAAATTATTTTGCAAGTAATTCTTGGATATTTTTAGCTCAGTGTGTAACGTCCAAAGCACCCTGGTTTTTAATGCTGCTGTTGACCCAAACTCTACCCACAGGTCTGTTACGGGTGTTGCATATTATAAGTAATCCCCATATTAGGTCAGTGAAAGTAACCGTGTCTTCTATAAATGGTTGTTTCTATGTTATCTCATGCACCACAATGCGCTAGCTGAGTGTTCACCAATAAAATGTGACTGAGCTATGAGCAACAGTGAGATAAATACAAACTGATGAGAGAAAGAACCACAGATTATAGGTGATACTGGCCAAATGTGCTCTGTTGAAATAAAAGTGAAGTAAAAGTTTAAAGAGGCCAGAACTCCAGCAACACTTTTATAAATAACAACAGTTTCAGCTTGTGGCGTTAAGCCACAATCTTTGGCCAAAAGCCCAAATGTCTGACAGTAACATTGACCTTTATACAACAAGTAGGAGTAGGCTGCAGTTTTTCCTCTCTTCTCCATGCATGTTGGAAGGAGGTGAAGTGGTACTAGAACTCCCTTCTCTGCTTCTCACATCCTCTGCTACAGTCAGATACACATACTTCTAAAAATGATCTATAATCGACCTCTGACCACCGAAATTTAATCAGTTCATCTTTGAGTCCAAGTGGACACTTGTGCCAAATTTGAAGAAATTCCTTCAAGGTGTTCCTGACATAAAACATTCACAAGAATCGTATAAACGTATGGATGGACAACCTACAAGCATAATAAATGACGTGGCTGTGACTATTACCAACGCAGGGGCATAAAAATCGGACCACTGAGGAATTACAGGTAAAGTCAGAGCATTTGAACATGACAACGCTAGCAATATAGTGCTATTGGTGGGGGGCAGGGGAATCTTTAAATAACTGTCAAATAGTTCCCAGCAAACATCAAATAGTTTTTTTTTTAGCTTGAAACACCCATCACTACTCCCTACTCATTGTTTTAGGGGATTTTAACTGAGCAAATCTTACTCAGGAACTGCACAAATACAGACAGCAGCATGTCAGTTGTCCCACATGGGACAAAAACACAGTGGACCACTGGCACACTGTGATAAAGGACGCCTATCGCTCTCTGTCCCCCATTCAGCCCTCGGTCTCTCTGATCACTACATGGTCCATCTCATTCTGTGGTTAGAACAGTGAAGAGCTGGACCAAGGAGGCCAGGTCAGACCTACAGGCCTGCTTTGACTGTACAAACTGGAGTGTTTTTGGAGCTGCAGCTACAGATCTGGAGGAAGTCACAGACACTGTGACATGAGGTTTTGTGAAGACGTGTGTGCCCACCAAGACCTTCTGCACATGCAATAACAACAAGCCCTGGTTCACAGCAAAGCTCAGGCAGCCTCGTTGTGACAAAGAGGAGGCCTATGCGAATGGGGACAGGTCCCTGTATAACCAGGCCAGAAACACACTGACAAAGGAAATCAGTGTAGCAAAGCAGAGCTACTCCAAAAGGCTGGAAAAAACTTAAAAGACCGCATCTGGACATAGTTTTAGGTAGAACACGTTTCACAAGAGGCTTCATCGGTTCTGTCTGACTGGTGGTGAGCAGGAGGTATTGTTTCAATGAAACAGTATTTACTGTATATAGCACACAGACCCTCTGGAGAGTAAACCCCCTGTGGAGCAGCATCAATTGTCTGGTCTGTATCTCAGGGAATGTTTACCATTATCATCTTTGGCTTAGGAACCAGACACTGGAAAAATGTTCTACAGTGTGTGAAAACACACTTCTCTCCAAATTAAACATGTCTGTAATTTATTATTTTCTATTTATATAAACACTAGTCCTATATGCAGCCACAGGGGGGGGTGTCACATCCTTGGCCTTGTGTTTACCTGACAGTATTAACACACTGAAAACACAAAAGACCACACGCTTATACAGAACGGAACTCTCAAAAACAGAGGATGACCCCAAAAATAACATCCGCTTAATCCAGAGAATGACACAAGGAAGGTTAACAAAGCAAAAGCTCCCAATTTACAATGCTTTTTTTTTTTATTAGGATCCAGCTAGCCCTACAAGTAATTACTGCAGAGAGCAGTAAACCTACCGATGTCAGTATGTAACCTGGATTAAATGTAAGAGAATATAAAGTAGGAGCTTTAAAGGAGCTAACCTTCATCTTTGTCCCAATGTGGCAAATGTTACAATGTTGTTTTAAAATCAATGTTTTCTAGTATATGATGCATTCACCAGTTACTGCTGAATGCTGCAGTAGCAATGTTACCACCTGCTAGATTGTACAACTTAACAAAATTCAATCTGCATTTATGGAGACGACAAGCCCAATCCAAACACTGGTTATTTTTACAGGGATGACAGGATCATAGTCAGACATTCAGTACATTTTTAGTAAGGATCCATCTGGGTAAAGAATCCAGTAGACATTAAGCCTAGAGTCAGTGAAGAGACATAATCTCATCCTGTGGCTGAAATTCAACATTCTGAGGTAATTCATGAGGAAATACCCTGATTCATATTTCTAGGTTTAGTTCTCACAAGAGCTAAATACAGTATGTAGCTATCTCCTGGGAGGTTGGACATAAAGGAGAGTGCCACTGCAAATAAATTATTACTACTTGGACACATCTCTAACAAACTGTCCTCTTCTGTCCCCACTGCCCCTCCTCCTCTGTCCATCCCATGAGACAGATTAATGCTGTTGTGGGTTGTGTGTACTACTCACAGACCCACACAGCTTGCTCCCCATGACGCATGGGAAAGTCTAAGAGCAGGAAGTCACTGCGGAGTTCACTGGAAGCTGCAGAAGCATCACAACAGATCTGCTGGAAACATGACTGTCCCCTCCACACGTCCATTTATTGCAACACAGGGGCACAACATTCAAAAGTCAGTGTAAAATTAAGCAGAAACTGATCCTCCTGGGATGTGAAACGTCTGAGCCAGCGATGGTAACTACTGAACCATACAAAGAACATTGATCCCCTAGAAAATGTTTCAGGCATTTAACACTACACATCAAACTGAACACACCATCCCCACTGTAAAACATAGTGATGGCAGCATCATGCTGTGGGGATGCTTTCTTCAGCAGGGACAGGGAAGCTGGTCAGAGTTGATGGGAAGATGGATGGAGCTAAATACAGGGCAATCCTGGAAGAAAACCTGTTAGAGGCTGCAAAAGACTTGGGACTGGGGCGGAGGTTCACCTTCAAGACTTGAAAATTGCTGTTCACAGATGCTCTCCATCCAATCTGACTGAACTGGAGTCTCTAGATGTGCAAAGCTGGTAGAGACATACCCCAAAAGACTTGCAGCTGTAATTGCAGCAAAAGGTGCTTCAACAAAGTGTTGACTCAAGGGGGCTGAATACATATGCACATCACACTTTTCAGATTTTTATAAAATCTTGAACACCACATATCATTTTCTTTCCACTTCACAATTATGCAATACTTTGTGTTGGTCTATCACATAAAATCCCAATAAAATACATTTAAGTTTGTGGTTGTAATGTGACAAAATGTGGAAAAGTTCAAGGGGTATGAATACTTTTTGTAGGCACTGTACCTGTCCAGCAGAAATACGGCCACCATGGCGTCACTTTTCAGCCTCCTTTTTCGTGCAGTTGTCACAGTCATTCAAAAGCTGTGCCGATGTCAATTCTGGGTTTATTTTTGGCAGCATCCAACTTTTTATTTATTTATTTATTATAACTTTCTTGAATACGGTGTTACCCACCCAGATCTGTGGCCCCGAACCATAGTTGGGGACCTCTGGTTCATGGCTAAACTGCTTTAGCCCTGGCCAGTAAGTTTTTCTTTATGTTGTCAGTGCGTTTAATGTATTCATTGCCATCGGGATGAAAAGAGAATTTCAAGATATGTAACAAAAATGCTTCTGAAAAGAACTGCCAACCCTAGACAAATAACTTATGTTTTCCTAACTTTGGTTCCTTAATGGGAAACCATCTTGAGCTTACACAAACTTCATTACAACACAAACGATTATTACTTCACAATCAATTATGTTATGTTAAACTATTATAACGACATTGATTACAGGCCCATCATCCCTGTACTATTGTAGGGGAAACACTGAAGAACTGCCCACAAAAACCAAAGGAATAAAGCATCAAAGATCTGAGGACTTTTGTGGAAAATTACGATTTAAAAAAAAAAAAATTTACTCTATATCCATCCATTATCTATAACACTTATTCCTGAATAGGGTCATGGGAGGCTGGAGGCAATCCCAGCTGACATTGGGTGAGAGGTCACCAATCTATCACAGGGCTTTGATGTAGATAAACAACCCCACACACCCACACACACTCCTATGGGCAATTTAGTGTCACCAGTCAACCTAAGCTGCATGTGTTTGGACTGTGGGAAGAAGCCGGAGTACCTGGAGAGAACCTGCACAGGCACAGGGAGAACATGCAAACTCCACATAGAAAGGCCCCAGGCCAGGCGGGGTTCGAACCAAAACCTTCTTCCTGTAATGACTATTACTACAGAGCTCACAGTTCTTCTTGAAGTGCGTGTAGTTCCTATTTGCCATTTCATCACGGCCGTGGACTGCTGTGCCTCTGAATCTGATCAAAACAGAATCGAAAATCTCAGTGATCAGCTGGTCACTGGTCAAGGCTAATCACACTGAAAACCGGCCATTTCCGATCTCCACCAATCTATCGATGCATCTCCACTATTTCATAAAGGTTACATTTTAAATTCAGGGTTTGTTGTGTTTTTTTATCAGAAGTTTACAGATGTTATAGCAATTTGTGATGTATTTTTTCCGTTTGGGTCCCGGACATGGACTAGATTTCTCTTTATGGTCTTGAGCTGAAAAATTTCGAGAACTCCTGCTCCAAGGTTTTAATAATGTCTTCACTGGATTTGTATGAGTGATATTTAGCTACAGTGGATGATGTTTATAGCACCTCAGTTGTTAATGCTGCGGTAGGTCCAAACACTCCCTGAGCTCTTCTACCACTGCTGAAGGAGCTGGTGTCAGCACTGGGGCCCGGCCTTGGTGATACCCCTAGTTTTGTGTATTTATGTCTTCTTATGATTCCAGTGCCTTTATAGCCAAAGTTCCTAATTCCAGTGCTTTCTTGCACACGACACAGTAGGCATCTGCATGCTGTGTGATTTCCACGCACACTGCATATGACATTTTACTTTCTACTTTGACCGATTTGTGTCACTGGGGAGTGCAATTTTGGATACAAAAAATTGTGACATATAGATTCATAACCACTTTATTACCCATTCAGAATCTTGGGGTGGGACCAGGGGCTCAGCAGCAGAGCAAGAGAGCTGTAAACCATTAGCCCTGACAAAACAGGTCTCAGGGACTAAAAATGAAGCAAATTTGATCACACACACACACAGTTTATTTATTTATTTTTTTTACTTCAGACATAGTACATGGGCTACTTTTCCGTGGCCCACCCTGTAGAAGCCTGAGCCCACTGTCCTGACCATGCTGTGCATCAGTGTTGTTCTGTAACTCTTCACGCTTTCAACATCAGGGATCAACATGCTGCTAAACACCATCTACACCTGGACAAAGATTTGGCTGGACCAGTGGATTGTATCTTGACCTTTAACTCTGTCTCACAACCAGGTGATACTAGTATGTCTGGTCTGTAAAAACTGTGATGTTGAAGAATATGTCTGTGTCTCACCTGCTGCCTCTCGTGTCATACTGTTTCATATTCTTAATGAAGTGGATCTTCTTGGTGTGTCGAGGTCTGGGAGAACCACCAGAGAAGTTTCGCGTCCTGCAGACAGACAAAAATAAAATGAGGGGTATCACATTCAGTTCAGCAAATCACAAATAAGGATGCCAGGAGACAGTCTATTTGAGTAAGACATACTACACAGCACACACACACAGAATGAACTAGTATCAAGTACCAAGTATTTCTCTATTTGCTGGTGTTAGAATAACATGTCACCAAAACATCAGCACACACATTTACCCCCCTCTGTGATAATGTAACCATTACCTATTTTTGTGTGCAGAGCCATATTTTTTATAAGGGAATTTTAAACTTTGAAATGCAATGTTAAGCACTGGGTTTCCAACCCATAACAAAACTCACATATAATTTTGGACACCAAAGCTGAGGTTCTGTACGTGTGTGCATGTGAATTTGCGTCTGCTAAAGGTCGGGTTACGAGTTAGGATGCGTTGCTGTGTCAATGCCGTGGATTACAGCGCCAGACCTCATCATGAAAACAGGCCAAGGAGCTCAACTCACTGACATCACAGCAGTTACATAACTTTACTGACATCAGCATTAGTCACACACGGCACAAACTATAATTGCATGTTATCCACAGACACATGCATAATCTCATGGGACAAGTACACACAGAGCAGCACTCTCTTGCACCACACAGAGATATTTCTCATATACTTCTTGTTAACTGTAAACACACACACCATTTCTGTGATGTCACGATAATTATGTCACTTACATGTTTCACACAAAGCCAGTTAAGGCATCACATTTATAACTACATGTGAAACCTCTTCTTTGAATAAAATGATCTGAAACAGAAGAATTCACCAGGTTTGGAACATGCATTTTTGAGAAACTAACAAATACTGGACCAATTTGTGTATTTTTATAACAAATAAATCACTGTAAAATTCCAAAGTGCCTGATGTTGAGGACTAAATAAAGCTTAATGCTTGATTTCTATTGCAGTATTCATATTTAATTTCATGGATTCATTTACTTTTCAGTGATATTTAGTTTGTGCAGACAGACCGTTCTGACAGTGACACAGAACTATAAAACTTTGACTGCACAGCTAAATATAGGATGCGTGAACTACATCGACACAAATTTCTAAAAACATTAGTAGTGATAACCAGACTAACAGCAAGACAGGCTAAATAAAACACATTTTAGGCTGCATGTCGTTATGTCAAGCAGAACGAACCTCCAGCCCCGCTTGGGTGACCAGGTTTAACACGGCTAAAAACGTGATGTGCAGTCCAAGCCAGGCTTCTCTCAGTGCTGAATCCATGTTTCTGGTGTTGTCTGTCACAATAGCAATGGCCTGATTGGCTGTTCCAAGCTCCCATTCAGTAAATGCCAATTTAGCACTTCGGCAATGTTTCGTCCAGTGTGATTCAAACATCGTGCGTGTTTGGAAAGGAAATAAATAAAAAAAATAAATAAAAATCACCATTTGGCAGTTGATAAAGTAGGCTGTGATAGTAATGTAGCTCTGGGTGGTCCCTGAGGTCTAGCCATCTATTGTTAAAGTGACTCTTTCAGCCATCTTAAGGGCATCAGCTTTACTTTTACAGCCTCATACATATAATGCTGGAAAAACAGATTTGCTGAAATGTGCACGAGATGGAATGCAATACTTGGGCTCCAACGTGTTGACAAAATTTTCCAAACCCTTCGTCCTTGATGACCAAAAACAGCTTCATGTCTTTGACACTAAAAATTCTGATGCTCTGTGTCATCATCTCTTTTGCACCGACTTGATGCCAGAAGCTGTGGCACAAAGTGCTGACTGGCCTTTGGTTAACTTAACAGGTGGTGGTGACTGTAACTCTTCTTTATGATGCCATTGTAGATGAAGCAGCGTGCTACCGGTTTTAGCCATCATGTAAACCAGAGTCAGTGCATTGCAGCCTTTGTTCGGTCCAGAACTTCAGAGTCAGTGCATTGCAGCCTTTGTTCAGTCAAGAACTGTCTCCATTTTCTTGCCTTCATTTTAATTTTAATTTATTGACTGTATGTCATCTGTGTGTCTGTGCTATTATGCAGTTATTTTTTTGCACTGATCTTATTCTATTTTAGTCATTTATTGTCATTATGTTTTTCTGCCATGTTAAGTACTTTGGTCAACTGGATGTTGTTTTTAAAGTGCTATATAAATTTGATTTGATGCTGGAAAACCATGGAAAAATGCTGCTGTACAGCTGATTTAAAGTTCAGCGGGGCATCATCTAGTTCCACCTCTTCCTAAATTTCTTACTAGTCAGTCTCTGGGCAGAAACATGCCAAGCTGACGTGAAAGAACTAGCAGACTGCTGCATCGCCTCCTGTCGGGTCGAACAAAAATAGCACTTGAACATACCACACAGATGCAGCCAATGCCCAGCTATCATGTTCTGCATCTGCGTGATAGAAATAAGTCTCCCTACCAGCAAGTGGCAGCATACGTATTCACCATTGAGAAAGGGAAAGAAGAAGAGCTAGAAGGCACAAATAAAGCTGTAAACAAAGCAGCTGTCATTCAACAACTGCTGTTTATAGCTGCTCCTAATTGTGACCATGTCTGGGGGGTTTCCCCAAACATTTCTCTTCTCTTACATGGATTCGCCAAGATGAATAGCCAATCAAAGTGGGCTCTTTGCCTTATGCCAATTAAATATGAATTTGCCAAAAAGCCGCCGACAGGGTCCGACTAGTGCCAACGGTGCACAACACACCAGGAAGACAACCACAGACAAATGTCATGGTCACCAAAACTGCCCTCTAGCTGTAACATCAATTGCATGTAAATATTTGGGAGTCAAATTTTATTGACTTAATATTATGATCCATTTCACAGTTTTACAATTCCTGTTGTCACATTTGTGAATCGTGAAACATCATGCCACAGTGCATCGTTACACCCCAACTAGTCTGAGATCCTGATATTGACACTATAATCAGATGAATGCCACTCGCTTTCACAGACATGACATTTTTTGTAGCTAGCATTTAAAGGTCACATATGCAAAATTGACTTTTAGAGCATTTTCTGACATTCACATGGGTCTCCAGTGTGTGTAGACACACAAAATATGAGAAAAGAACAGTCCGTGCCTGTTTTGCTATTTCCACATTTGTCAAAACCCCCTGCTAGAACACTATGTTCAGATTTGTCTCTCTCCTTGTGGTGTCATACTATTACAAACTATTCTGACAGTGTATCATATAAATAATCTAAAGCTTTGACAAATATTTTCCAAGCATAAAAATGGATACAACTCTCTGAGGAGTAAAAACTTGCCAAGTGAAAAACACGTCCACAAACTGGCTGCAGAGGCACTGGTTACTGTGCAGTTTTTCCAGTACACACGTTACTTTGTAAAATAAGTAAATCTATCCTCAGCTTTGTTAACACGGTACAGAATTGGATAGTAGTATAAGAGGATTACAGAACAGTGGCTATATTGTCTTGTAGCATCTCTTGCATTACTTCTGCAATTTTCTTAGGTGTATTTTTAACACACAACTCCTAATGTTCCAAATATTGTATTGATACATGCCATACTTCACATTTGCACATCGTGACAACTGCTAAACATGGCCTATTGTTATCTGAGAATACTAACATTCTTTCTAACATGTTACTTGTCAATTTCCTCACATCAAACGCTTGACTGGGCGCTGCAGGTCATTTCCCACAGATGTTCCTGTAAAGGCAAACACAAAACAGAGTGTGCTTTCACGGTTTGGAGAGTTTATCTGTCAACACTGACCCAATGTAATGTTACATCAACATACAAGCTAAATAGCAGCATTTACCCGAGGGAAACGTCAGGGACAGCTGCCTCCCTGAAGGTCAGTGCTGGTTATTTCTTCCTAATTTCAGACCAGGCTGCTGCTTGAACATCTGTGGCTGTTTAGTTTTTGATTTCGAAGTTGTTATTATGGTGAAATTTATGGTAGAAATGCAGCTAACAATGTTGGGGGGTTACTATGACCAGCGTCAGGCACTATGGGGAAACTGTATGTTCATAAAGCTCATTAAACATTCAAATGCTTTGTAGTAAAACCTTTAAAAGCCAATGTAAACCTGAAAATGATCCACCAGATCCTAAGCCGAGGTGTATTCAAATTAACACTGCTGTGGCTGTGCTCATTTACATTATCAGTGTTAATAATTACAACAAATAAATTGAAAAATTGTGTTGCCACAGTATTTTGAAAATCTGACAATATGTGACAGGTTTAGTAAACATCCCCCAAAGGTCTTCTGCAAAGACATAACAGTTACACAAGTGTGAACACATGCAAGCATGAACACATGTTCATTCACACTAATACATGCACAACATCCGTTGTTGTTTTTATGGTGGATCAGTTGATTCCACACCACATGGAGTTAAATCACTGTTATTACTGCTGCTCACTACATGACTCACACACAACTTTCAATTGTCAGTCCTCAGTACTCGTCAATGCTGTAACGCAGATGTTTGAGGGAGCTGCACATTCCTGTATGTAATGCACACAAGCAGTAGTAACATCTGGGTAGACATGTTCAGACACGCCGAGCTGCAGGATGGTCTTCCCACTGTTGGTCCCAGACAAAAACACCATTCACACATCTTCAGCTGAAGCTACTGTCCAAGTGAGTGTGATACTTGTTAAAGGAAAATAACTAAACTTAAAAAAAAGTCGTTTGATACATTTTAAACTCCTGGATCCATTTAGTAACATTCCTCACATCCTGACATGTCACATTACAGTGGTGTCAACACTCAATGCACTGAATGCAGCAGAGGTGAGAATCTTTTTTAAGTATCTCTATTTTTACCTGAATAGAAACATCATATCCTGCAGTAGTGTTGGTGGGAGAAATTTGATACCTGCTCAATTCTCTGACTCCCAGTCAGTTAATGGGAGAGGTGTTTGCTTGGACATACAGGAGGCAGTCATAAAGAGTAAGTGCTGGATTAAATTTTCACTAAGTTCAGAATTAAAGGTCAAGTTTCTAATATATATTTAAAGACCCCAGCAGACACCTTCTC